TTCACCCCCATGGCTCCTTTTACACAGGTCTATAAGGAAAACAATAACCATTTGACATCAAGAGAGCAGCATTTGCCCCGGGGCAAAGTGCAGACCGGTTAGGAAGGAAGGAGGCGGGCTTGAAATGGGAGATGCTGGGAAGACGTGGGATAAGCAGTGTTGCACTGTGGAGATTGCAATTACGGAATGGAAAACTGATGTGTAAACCTTTAAACACAAAACGACTGGCAATGGAACTTGTCATGTTGAGAGCTTCTTTTGAAAGAGGCTTGACCTTCTTTATGTGGAAAGATGCCTATTTCCATAAAGGTTGTTCACTGACTTACTTATTTACAGAAGGGAAGGTCTGTTTTACTCCTTTTCAGAAGCTACCCACGTAACAAACCTACAAGGAGGCCTGGGATCAGTGGATTCCAGGGCGTCAGATTGGTGCTTTAGCAAACTGAGTCTTCCCCAACCTTCTTCTCTCTCAATTTCATATTGTCCCCCTAAAGGTGGTTTAGCTTGTCACACCATTGTCCCCAACACACACACACACACACACACACACACACACACACACACACACACACACACACACACTCTCTCTCTCTCTCTCTCTCTCTCAATTCCTGCCTTCATGACTGTCTGGGACTGAAGCAGGCAAGTCTTATCCCCAGATATATTGCAGCAAAAGAACGCAGGTGGGCTCTCCGGAGCGGGGACACTGCCCAGCCAACAGAAGAACCAGCTGCTTGAGCTCCTGAAGGCTCTTTTGCCACTTGGGGTGCGCTTGGATACGTTGAAGGTAAACGAGTTCTGAGGAATAAATTCTGAGCTTCCTGAATAAAACTTTTTTTCTTAATTATCAGAAAGGATTAAAAACTCAACACTTCACCTCCATCACCCACCCACCCCCAAAGAAAACTCCAAACCTTGCCATCACATCAATTTGGACCCCTAGTGACCCTGTAGGACTAGGAAGAACAACCCCACCCCACCCCCGCCCCCGTGGGGTTCTGAGACTCCAACTTTCTACAGGAGTAGAAAGTCTCATCCTTCTCCCAAGGAATGGTTTCAAACTGCGGACCTTGCAGTTTAGCAGCCCAACATGTACCCACTACACCACCAAGCTCACTTTACCTTTAATTCCTAAAGCATATTCATATTTAGGAGAAACTTGGGAAGTTGAGGTTATGTGGGCAAAACTCCTCAGAGCAACGTAGAGTTGAAAGGGAGATAGCACAGATGATATGAACACGTGAGCATTTATGATCCACGGGTTTGGTGGCCTTGGTCTGGCGGGGAACCTCAGAACTGGTGAGAGCCTCCTGCACCCCAGCCAAGCCCTCCGACCATAATGTGAGCTGCTCCTTTCAACACATAACATCGCGATCAAAAAGGCCCTTGGCTTTGAGGCAGATTCTTCCTCTGAAAGGAGACTCCCACTGCTAATCCTATTTTGTCAGCAACCACTTCTTCCATTGGGCCTCAGCTTCCGTTTCAGTCCTCTCATTTTTTCTTCCCTGGACATTTGCAAGGAGCTGCCCAAGTTTATGGTCTGGACCGCCTCCAGTGGGTCTGGGCTGTTACCTGAACGATCTTTCTAATATGTGCAAATGGTATCTTTAAACATAACCTATTCTACACCGACCTGTCCTTTAACGGCTTCAAAATAGCTAAGAATGGAATCTCAATACACACACACACAACCGATCTGACCATAAGGCTATGCTATCAATACATTCACACATTTGTGCCTTTGTAAATGCTGTTCCCTCATCCTGCAATGTCCTTCTTGGCTTCACTTTCGCTCTCTACACCCCACACAGTGCTGTCCATGTGTCAAACTCCTACCATCCTTCTTTTTGCTGCAATATCTTGTCATCTCTTCTGGGAAACCCAGAGGATCAGTACTTACCTGACTGCATCCAAAGCCAACTTGCACCCTCCATCAAAACCTGTCTCCCAGTGCATTCGTTCCCATGCTGCGGTCCTTATTTGCACCACTAGCCTGGGAAGCTCAGAAGATCACTGGGGACCAAGTTCAATCTAATGTTGAACTGATGATGGTAACTCGTTATAGAATGCACTCGGAGTGGTCCATATAACGCACTTCCAACCCTGATTCAAAGATGATCCCACTCCAGCCTCCCCAGACCCTTTTAAATTGGGGCTCATTCTTTTTTTTCTTCTTCTTCTAGTTCTTTATTTTTTTAAATTGTTTTATTAGGGGCTCATACAACTCTATCACAATCCATACATACATCAATTGTGTAAAGCACATTTGTACATTCATTGCCCTCATCATTCTCAAAACATTTGCTCTCCACTTAAGCCCCTGGCATAAGGTCCTCATTTTCCCCCTCCCTCCCTACTCTCCCCTCCCTCATGAACCCTTGATAATTTATAAATTATTATTTGGTCATATTTTGCCCAGTCCAACATCTCCCTTCACCACTTTTCTGTTGTCTGTCTCCCAGGGAAGGAGTTATATGTAGATCCTTGCAATTGGTTCCACCTTTCTACTCCACCTTCCCTCTACCCTCCTGATATCACCACTCTCACCACTGGTCCTGACGAGTTCATCTGTCCTGGATTCCCTGTGTTTCCAGTTCCTATCTGTACCAGTGTACATCCTCTGGTCTAGCCAGATTTGTAAGGTAGAATTGGGATCATGATAGTGGGGGGAGGAAGCACTTAGGAACTAGAGGAAAGTTGTATGTTTCATCGTTGCTACATCGCACCCTGACTGGCTCGTCAACTCCCCGAGACCCTTCTGTAAGGGGATGTCCAGTAGCCTACAGATGGGCTTTGGGTCTCAAATTTGGGCTCATTCTAGGAAAGAGTCATTTCATTGCACAAGAGCAGGTGAATAAAACAAAATTCCTCCTGCAGCACTGTCACCAACCCTTGCTTGCCAGAAATGTCAATGACTGTTGTCCGTGGTGTCTGAAATCAAGGCAGAGCTCCTCACTCAGGCATTTATGACTCTCCTTAGTTTTATCCTACTACTTAGTATTAAATAAGAAAATTATAAACTAACATTTATTGACATCTTACTATGGGCCAGGCACTATTCAAAGAGCTTTACCCAAATGACCTTGTTCAATAAAATTAGCAACCATATTGATTTCACTCATTTGACATTATATATCACGTGCTTCACTAGTAATGAAACATGAAGTCCTCATGAGAAACAGATGCGGTGATAGGTTTATTGTACCAACCTGGCCAATAGGAACATGTGGGATTAAGAAGGTCACAGTTTGATTGGAGGGCAAAGAGATAAATGGCTCGGCCAGCCCCGCCTCTCTCTCTCTTGCTCTCTGGTGATCAGACCAGCATGTGGCTATTAGTTCTCTGCCTCACCTCATGAGTTACCCTACCTGTGGACTGCCAACCTGTGGATCATGTCCCCAGAGCTTCAGCACCTGCTTCACCACACTGCTGGTGTGCACATTGCTTGAGCTTGGGACTGTCGGATCTTGTTGTCTTGCTAACTGTTGGTGACCCACCCTGCTGTTTGCTGCCTGTGGTCGGACTCCCTGCATTGCCCTTTGGAAGACTCGGCTGTCTACTTCCTTAACCTTGGACCCTGGGGCCCTCATTGAGTGGAAGGACTTCCAGTATATTAACTGTTCCACAGAAGTGAGTTGAACTGAGCCCTCTGTACTGCTGTGTGGGCTAATTAGCTGTTCTAGTCCTATGTGCTGTGTCTATCATCTATCTATCTATCTATCTATCTATCTATCTATCTATCTATCTATCTATCTATCTATCTATCTATCTATCAAAGTGTCCTGGTTCTGTTTCTCTAAAGAACCCTGTCTAACACATATGCATAGGAACTATCATTGTTCCAATTTCTCAGATGAGGAAACTGAGGTAGAGGGAGATTTGGCAGTGGGTTCAGCTTCCACGGCTGACAAGAGACAGCTTGGGCTGGGGCCAGGGCAGGGCTTCTTCGAGCCTGGGCTCCCATCACTGCACTGCCCTGCCTCAAGTACCATCAACACCCTCACCTCTTCCCAGAGTTCAACTCCTGTCATCTTTTGTTCCTGATTTCCTGTGGGCATATGGTGTCTGTCACTTCCTTCTCTCCCTTCAGAGCCTGCTCAGGACTCATCCTCTCCTTGAAGTCTTTTCAGAAATACTGGACGTCTCTGTGCTCTCTCCTCTCTGCCGACCCTTTATAAAATGCCGACAACACTCTGGCACTAAGCCAGCTTTCAGTTCCAACTGCCTAACAGACTGCAAAACTGCAAAAAGTCAGAAGCCGTGAAAAGCAGAAACCCAACAGAGGGGGAACCCTCAGGTGCCTTCCTCTAACGGAGAGTGACAGACTAGAGGTCAGACTGCCCCTGCCAAAGGAGGCACATGCACACGATCCAGAAATAAACAGGCCAACCCTGTGGAGTCCCAGCTCTCACGGGCCGCGCCACACTATCCCACAAGGTTCTTTTAAATGGGCTGTCGGCCCAACAGAATTACAAGATGCCGCCCAGGTGATTTACCTCTTCTGAATTCCCCCCAAAGTTCAGAATTGAAAGGCAACCTTGGTGTGTCTTCATTGAAAAGTGAAAACAAAGTGAGTTCAGGTCCCCTCTCCAATGTAGTAGATTCACTCAATTGCTACCTCATGTGGCAGTATTAAAACTAAGTAAGTGCCCAGAATAAACTCAGAATTTGCCCATTTATGCTTTCTTTTTCACAACCAGAAAAACAAAAAGAATATTGGAATGCAGTTAAAGATGCAGTTTAATAATAATCACAAAGTTAATAGTAATTAAAACCACCAACACAAGCCTCGTCCTGATGTAGCTGAAAAATAAAGTGGGCTTGACCTTACACCCATCTGAGAAGTCACTTAATTTATTTCAAATTTAATTTGTGGTTTGTGTGATGGTACTGATTCACCTTAACCTCGATCAATGGGAACTCGCTACCGCACGGCCGAGTTCATCTGGCATGATTCCCACCCGTGCTCATTCCTGTACCATAGTTTTGCAGCGACCTACTTGGCTGTGTCGGCTCCGCTGGTTATTAAGGTGTTGATCAAAAGCTCATGACCGTATCTTGCAGCCACATGGAGAGGAGTATTGCCATCCTTATCCATGCAGTCAATTTCACCTCCTGAAAGAAACATTTTAACACAGGATAACAAGGGTCCGAGTTGATTCAGATACAACATTCTATGCTCGTCATTCATGTTGGCCAAATGTTGACTTCTTGTCTACACCAGTGTACAAGAATGCCTTTTAAGGGAACAAGTCACCATCTGAATTAGTATTATCGTATGTATTATATCATTTCCCGGGCATGACTCTGCTGGGCTCGCATAAGACCATTATAAAATCCTCATCATAATAACTGTACAGCCCTTTGTTCTAATGAACCCTACTATTGATTTTATTGACTAACCATATCCCTAAGATGTATTGTTCCGCAAACAATATTTTTTTTCCAGTCAGGAGTAGTTGCAAAATATAGAGTTAGTAAGAATCATTGCCAAAACGCAAGAAGGCAAATCCTTCAGTACTGAAATTAGCAGATTTAGCTGACACAGGAATAAAGGTGTTTCACTCTTGAGTGAGAAGTTCTGCGTGTAGATTTTAACCTGAGAAATTCAGTCCATTTGGGGCCACTCCATTTTCACATTTGGTGCTTGCAACATGACAGCTGATTACAAGAAGGTAACCTCTTGATGACTTTAATGGGAAAATGTATATTGCAATTTGAATACAAACACCAATCTTTCCTCAAAGTTATCTTTCTGAGTATAGCTACTATTTGGAAAACCAATTGTCTGAACGGAACATGTGACAGCAGTCATGGGCAGGGCGTGTGTGTGTCTTTTTAATGATGTGATTTTGCGTTTCAGTCAGCATGCATAAATTTTACAATCAAAGGAAATCATACTAGGTATTGTGGTCTTCCAGGGACTCGGGGAATAAGTTAGTTCGCTGTGATCTCAATTGAGACGCATCCAATTTAGTCCATTCGTTGTCGTGACGTGGAAGACAGGCAGACTTCACAGATACTCTAGAGCAGTGGTACTGGACCATCCTAATGCCATGACCCTTTCATACAGTTCCTCATGTTGAGGTGAACCCCCCCCCAACAAACCATAAAATTATTTTCGTTGCTACTTTATAACTGTAATTTTGCTACTATGATGAATCAGGAAACCCGTGACAGGGTGGTTTGACCCCCCCAAAGGGGTGCAACCCACAGGTGGAGAACCACTGCCCTAGAGCAATCCAGATACAATATATCTGCCTGAGAACTGCCCACAGAGGGCTGGAAAGGTCCATTCAAGGTCTTTCCCAGTGGACATATGGAAGACAGCTCCTCAGACTTCAGAAAGCTTTGCCCTGAGCAAACACGCCATCACTTCACACTCTTCCTACCCCACAGCCACCAACACTTATACTGAGGAAAGGGGAGGGCCTCACATTTGCCAGTCTCAGTATGCCAAAAATTGGGTAGGGAAAGAGAAGCATGACAAATATTGAGAAGGGTGTGGTAGAGGGCCTGGGCCAATAATTTGTGTGTGTGTGTGTGTGTCTATGATAATCACTTCATAGGTCAATTAGAAACGTCAAACTATAGGCAATTCATTGTCTTCCACAAAATTTTTTGTTGTCATTTAAAATATATCTCAGACAAGTACCATGACTCAGTGGGGGAAAGAAAAAGGAAACCCTGCTTTGTTTTATTTTCTATCATTTTATTGAGACTCCAATACTGTTTCTGAAGCGTTCATCTATCTTAGATTTCATACATCTAACAATCCTAATTATAAAAATGAATATACAAAGTACTAACAAGATGAATGAGGTAAAACTAAAACCATAATAGTAAGGGGAAGAAATATTAAAGAACTAGAGGGTATTTATGTGTTTCATCAGTGCTATACTGCATATCATCCCTTCCATGTGGTCCTTCTGAGAGGGACTGTCCAATTGTCTTGCAGTTGGGTTTTGGGTCTCCACTTTGTCTACACTCCTTCACATCTATTTGATTGCTTGCTTTTGAACTTCTGTTACCTAGTCCCACCAACACCTCATGATCCCACAGGCTGGTGTGCTTCTTCCATGCAGGTTTTGTTGCTTCCCTGCTAGATGGCTGCTTGTTTATCTGCAAGCCTTTAAGACCCCAGTGCTCTATCTTTTAATAGGTGGGCACCATCCACTTTCTTCACCACATTTTCTTATGTACCCTTCTATCTTCAGTGATCATGCTGGAAAGGTGAGTATCATACAGAGCCACATTATTAAAACAAACCATTCTTGTGCTGAGGTAAGATTTAGGTAGAGGCCCAAAGTCCACCCACACACACACATTCACCTATCTTTTTATACTGATATACTTACACGAGGGTATTGTTTATATCTCCACAGGAAAAGAGGGACCAGACTTCAACCCAGTGCTCCAAGGTGTGAATATACTATCTATATTTATACCTATAAACTGTATTTACTTGTGTATGAGCCGAGTTTTTTCAGCACATTTTTAATGTAGTTTTTGTGGTAAAAGTAGGTGCGTCAGCTGATATTCGGGTCAGCTTATACTCGAGTATATACAGTATATAATTTTTACTTTCTTATTCTTTCCTCTTTTTATTTTTCCTTGCCTCTTGCCCCACTCTCATGTATACCCATTGCTCACCTCTCACTAATTCCTCTCAGATACATTTCAATTGATCAGACATGATCAGGAATGCTATAATCTCCTCATGGTCAATTTTAGATCTCTTGCTAGTCCCCTATCCCTATCCTTATTGGCTCATTGCTCCCTTCGCCCACCTCCTGCTCTCTCAAGCCCCTCCGAACCGCTAGTTTCTTTGCTATCTCCTGGAGATGGCTTATCCTGCCTATCTTATCCAATGGACAGAAACCCTAGTTTAATTTGGAAATATGTTTCATATATGAGTGAATATCTATCATCGAGACATCCGTAAGAGGTCTAAAATGCAAATGAAATACCTTTAATATCCACAAGGTGGCAAGTTAAACGTTGGTGGTCAATAATTGGGGAGAAAAGAACCATCGGTGAATTTCAGGCCTAGATCCAAAGGAATCATGGATGTGGCATGCCTGAAGCATCTCTCTGAGCACGTTTCCCACACACAAACAAGCACCGTCATCGGGTGAACTTGTCTTGGAACGACTGTGTCAAACGGTCAAAAATCTCAAGATGATTCACCCTAACAACCACCTAACTCTTCCTTTTCGGGCTCTAGTTTTAAAGCTTCTGTGACAAAAGCATTGCCTTTGAGCGTTTGGAACCAGCCAGGCAGCACAGTGCCACGGCTGGACGGAGGGCCTGCCAATATCGTACAGTTTCTTTGCTGAGTCCCTCCCTCCGGTGTGACAACACGCAGCCTTGACTGCAGAACAAGCCATGCCACAGCCGAGGAAGTCTTTGCATCTAACTAAGAAAGAGAAAAGTTTTGTTTTGCTTTTATAGAATGTCTTCACAAAGCCATTTTGAAAAACAAAGTTTACCATGAAGACCTACCACAGAGAAACACCTAGGAAGCCCAAATACCAGAGCCAACCACGCATGCCCATGTGGACCCCGCACTCGGCTCGGAGGACAGGGCAGCTCCTCTTCTGCAGTGACCCGCTCCGGAGGGCTGACCGCAGGCCCTGAGGGTGTGAGCCTCTGGAGAAGGGAGGCTCCTGGTAGCAACACAGGATTTTCCCCAGAAGGAAGCCAACACACAGGAGTAAAGAAAAGGGCTTCCTATTCTTTTCCCCCAGGGGAGTTTGTTGAAAAATGTCAAATGCAAGCACATGCAGTTCTCAGAAGTGTCAGCTGAGCAAAGAAAACGCCAAATCATCCTTTCACAAGGACAACCCTCTCTTCCAAATACAAGCAACTCTTCGAGGAACTAGAATGCAAGTGAAAACAAAACAAAACCAGAACCACTACCCCACCCCCCCAAATATGAAAATAGCACACCGCTGCTTTTCCAGAGAACAGGTTTCTAGTGTGCTTTGGTCTCGGATATTAGAGTGGCGGAGTTCCAAAATGTACCCACCAGGTATGCCAACACAAGTGACCACCTCTCTGCTTCAGTTTCCCCATGGTCACCAAGTTCCTGACACACTGTGAAAACCCTACGAAGTTTAGCTTTGCCATCATCTACTTGGGCGATATGGCATAGCCACTATGTACCAACAGTTAGGCCCCACTGAGCTCATAAAGCAGATGCCTGGCCAGCCAAGCAGGAAGCAGGTTCTGAAATAAAGCTCCTTGGTCATGGAAGACAAGCATTGGGGAATCTCGTACAGGCGTAGGCTCAACTCAAATGCCAGCAAGAATGCCTAGGGGAGGGCATGGAAGTTTTAAGCCCACAGGAGGGGCTCATGGGGTGGTCCGAGCAGTCAGAAAGCAATGTCCTGAGACTTTGTAAGCCCACTTGCATGACTAAGGGGGGGTGGGTCATGGCCTCCATATAAGGCCAGTGTGTCTTGGCTACAGCGATGAGCCTGTAGGGAGGCAGCATCTATACGGTGAAAAATTGTTCTCTCTCCAACCTGGTCATTGAGGCTTGAAATTACTTTAACAGGAGACAAAGCTTTCTATTCCACAGAGCTTGGGTCCACTGATTAAATCCGCATTTTAAAAGGTGTGTGTGTGTGTGTGTGTGTGTGTGTGTGTGTGTGTGTGTGTGTGAGAGAGAGAGAGAGATGCCAAGTATCTTCTGGTTTTGTTAGTTTTTAAGGGAATGAATAGTGCTTCTAAAAAGCACTCAACAAATACAGTGAGGTAAGGAAAAGGTCCCAAAGGGAGAGACTAGGGAGCCCCCTCCTTTATTTATAATTAAAATGGCCCTTTCGATGAAATGTGTGCCAAAGGGAACCACCTATTTCAAAATTGAAGTAAGGGGCTATGTGCAGTGAATTTCCATTTCACCTTCCTTGGCTCACTGGCAATTTGTTAGGATTTCTTTTCCCCTATAGCATTACTGAGATGCTTATAAATTTCCTTTACTTTGCTATAGGTATTTTGCTTTCTAAGCAAAATTTTATTGGCTAGTCTTCCATCCAAATGTCTGGTTTTATGGCTTGAAAGCCTAAGCTATAACTCAGTGCCCTGAACAATGCAGGTACAGGACATCCAACATTTTTATAGGTGACAAAGAGAGAGGTCCAGGGAAATAGACTGGCATCACAATTTTGAGAAGTAGAAACGTGGATCAACCTAAGACCGTTTGGAAACAGCTGAATTGCCCTGAAATGTCAGCATGAAATCAAGACGAGGCCCATTTTTCAAATTGTCTCTAAGATTTGCTCACTGAATAAAAGTTTTGTTGCCAAGGCCAAACCACTCATCTAAATCGGCGTGGCCCACTGCAAGTGGTGTGGCCCATTCTGTGAAGAGACCCATTCCCTAGGACTGTGGTTCTGGGGACAACCAGATGGTTCAAGAACCCTACACCTTTCTTGTATGCCCAGAAAACTACTGGATTATGGGTCTCCCCAAGGTCTCTGTCAAGCCTGGGGTTTGATGGCCTGTAGACCCTATTCTTACCTTCTTTTCCTCTGAGTCACTGCAGGCTCCTACCTTTGCTTTATGAGATTTTACTTGAGGAACAACGGTGCATTCGAAAATCTGAAAACAACGTGTATTTGCTGCTAGAAGAGGACAGTTGCTTTAACTTTTGATGTTCCAGAGTAAAGAGCACAGGATCTTAAGTCGTGTGTTTACCGTTCCTGGTTTCCAAACTCACAAGTTTTTTGCCTGGGTAGGAACTGACTGGGACACACAAAGGCTTCCTAGTCTAACGTTCGTGATGGATGGAGACGCCACAGCTGAGGCAGAGCCTTTAGCAAAGTAGGTCAAAGGATGCTGCAAAAGCCTTGGTCCCTAAAACCCTGAAACAGCGTCATTTTCACCACTCAAATGACTGACAGTCAAACTCAGTCAAGTCCGGGAACTGTTCAAACACCAGCCCTGCTGGAGAATCTTTCTTACCGTTCTGGATGAGGGTTTGTGACCGTGTGAACCTTCCATGGACAGCTGTCATGTGCAGGGGACTTTTGCCATCTTTACTCTAAAGAAAAAAAAGGGCGAGAGAGAAGCAATGGAGGATGGAATGAGCCAGGGGACCAAGTCTGAAACTCCACCATCAATGCCCTGAAAACACCAATGTGAATTTTTTTTTAAAGTATGATAAAAAGGGGGAGAGGGGAAAAAAGAAGAGCTGATACCAAGGGCTCAAATTGAAAGTAAATGTTTAGAAAATAATGATGGTAACATACGTACAGATATGCTTCATATAATTGATGTATGGATTGTGATAAAAGCTGTAAGAGCCCCCAATAAAATGATCTTTTTAAAAAAATGATAAAAACTATAGGGTGCGGGCAATGAATGTACAAATGCGCTTTATACAATTGGTGTGTGTATGGATTGTGATAAGAGTTGTATGCGCCCCTAATAAAACGATAAAAAAAACTATAGGGTGCAGTGTAGCAACAATAAAACATACAACTTTCCTCTAGTTCTTAAATGCTTCCTACCCCACCGCCACCTACTATCATGATCCCAATTCTACCTTGCAAATCTGGCTAGACCAGAGGAGGTACACTGGTACAGATAGGAACTGCAAACACAGGGAATCCAGGGTAGATGTTCCCTTCAGGACCAGTGGTGAGAGTGGCAATACAGGGAGGGTGGAAGGAGGTGGGGTGGAAAGGGGGAACCGAATACAAGGATCTACCCCCTCCCTGGGGGATGGACAACAGAAAAGTGGGTGAAGGGAGACATCGGACAGTATAAGACATGACAAAATAATAATTTATAAATTATCAAGGGTTCATGAGGGAGGGGGTGGGAAAGGAGAGGGGAAAATGAGGCGCTGATACCAAGGTCTCAAGTAGAAAGCAAATATTTTGAGAATGATGATGGCAACAAATGTGCTTGCACAATGAACTTCCGGAAGGATGGATTGTGATAAGAGTTATAAGAGCCTCCAATAAAATGATTTTTTTTTTAAAAGGCAAAAGGCAATAGATGTAGTATCCAAGGAGGCTTCAAAAAGTTCCCTTATGTTTTCATTCCATTTTCCCCACACACTTTTTGAAGCCCCCTTGTATATATGCTCCAACGCAAAGGCATGGTGTACATAACCTCTCAAAATATCGCATAACATCTCCTGAAAATGGCTTTGAGAAGAATTGGACATTTCTAGCTGCACGGACAACTTTCACCCTACTGAAATCATCCTCCATGAGCCTCGTCCTTTCCTTTGATCTCCGTGCTGATGAAGAAGGCTTTCTTCCCAGTCATATTTCCAGCCTTTGTCTACTGTATACAAGAGAGACCCAGGATGTGTGAAGTTTCATGGCCCCAAGTGACCTGAGATGGGCCAAACTGCCATAAATCACTGCAAGTCTCAACAGCTGACCTGGAGCCTACACCGTTCCTCATGCTAGTTCCACAGAAAACAACGATTCAGATTGTTTCACAAGAGAGCCTCTGGTTTCATGGACTTTCCTAGAAGCCGGAGGTCCGGGGCATGCAAATCATCCAGCAAATTGCTGTTTGCACGATCAGCTGGCAATCGGTATTGAATGCATTCCAAACATAAAAAGTCCTTGGCATACCTTTACCATTGAGGACATAAATTGGGGAGCTTTTTGATAGATTGAGCCAAAACATGGATATGTACAGAAAATGTACAGATTCGACAACATGGAGTACTTAACTAAAATTTTATACTAAATATTAAGGTTCCACACGTTTAAAAAATGCTCATAAGCATATCGTATTCTCAAAGTGGGCCCACCCCCAAAGAAAATATTACCAAAAATATTTCCAGCAAAGAGACTGTTTTATTTCATTCAAGTATTATTATTATTATTTTTAATCCACAATACGTTCTTTAGAATTCACCATGGAAAACAGCCATTCAAATAAATATTTCTGAGACTGGAACTAAAAACCATCTGCCTCTGAATCACTCAAGATTCACTTTAGAAATAGGAATTCCTAGGCCTTCACCCAGATCTAGAAGCCCTGGTGGGACAATGAGTTACAAATTGGGCTGCGATCGCAAGGTCAGCAGTTTGAAACCACCAGCCCGGTCAAAGGAGCAAAAGGAGGCTTTCTACTCCTGTAAAGGACTTGTCTTGAAACCCACAGGGGCAGTTCGACTCAGTTCTCTAGAGTTGCTGTGAGTTTGAATCTAGTTGATGGTAAAGAGTTAGGCTCTTTGTTTGGTGAACCCAGACCTTCTGAATCAGAACTGAAGCAAGGGAATCCCCATTTCTAATAAGCCCAGTACGCTCGGATCTAAGACCCACTGTGGGAGATATGTTGGAGCCCCAGTGGAGAATTGGATGATGTGTTGGGCTGCTAATTGCAAGTTCAATATTCTGAACCCAGCCGCTGCTCTGCACACGAAAGATGAAGCGTCGTGTCCATTAAAACGTATTGCCGCCTCAACCTAAAAAAGCAGTTTGACTCGGTCCTACAAGGTCACGATGAGTCAGATTGGACTGGACAGCAGTGAGTCTTGGGAGCTTAGACTTTGGGCTTCCATAACTTAGAAAGCCACCAAGCTCCAACAGAACTCTAACTCTCCCCTGAGAGGTCCATTCCTCACTGAGAGAAAGAAAGTGTGTGCAGTCTGTGTGGAGGGAGAGATAATCAGTGTGGTAACCCCATCTTCATTGGAAAAAAATATTATAGTTAAGAGTTCTTGAGAAGATGGGAAAAAATCAGTAAGATCTTTTCTGCATGTTAAAGACTATATATCCTATGTCAGAAAGTATTGAGAGGGGAGGATGGATGTCAGCTGGAAGATTTAGTACAAATGGTATTTTCTTAGAGGAAAAGGATCAGCAATCGAGAAAAGGAAGCTATGGGTCAGAGACCAAGAGACTCAGAGGGAGAGTTCCTGGAGTTATGGGATTCCAGAGCTTGGTCTTGGCTGCCGGATTCTAGACAAGCTTAAAGGGCTGAGAAGCTTGGGAGCTACTCTGAATAAAGGTTTAAAATATGTCGCCTCCCATCGAAAGTGATGACAGCCCCAAACTTTAAGCATAAATTATATAGAGTTGGCATTCACTTGTCTCTAGGTGGTGCTATTTCGTTAAATTCTGTTCCTGTATGGGCTCTGAAATTAATATGAAAATAAAAGTGATTAGCATTTGGTTAAATATATCTATAACTATAACTACTTCAGTCTTTAGTTAATACCTTTGTGATTATTTAACTAAGCACTTTTCCACGTCTAGAAAAGAGCTTGAAGATTTTACCAAGGAGTAATGACCTACCTAATTAAAAAAATAAGCCAATGCTGTTGAGGTAGAGTCAATTCTGACTCACATAGACTGTATAGGGCAGAGAACTGCCCCATAGTGTTCCCAGACTATAAATCTTTATGAAAGCAAATTGTCATATCTTTCTTCCATAAAGTGGTGGGTGGGTTTGAACCATTTATCTTTTGGTTAACAGCCATGCACTTAACCATGGCCTTGCCAGAGATCCTTCTAATCTGATAGTAACTACAGAAACGTCAGGCAGAGAGTCAAGGCACAAATAACTTGTGTCTAGCATATAGCTTGTAAATGGCTCCCATTTCTAGGACAGCAAATATCATAACTTTCCTCGCAGGTTGCGTATGCCTTTGGTCAAGGGATCGATAAAACTGGCTAAAGATTCATACAGATGATTTCATCTGACATACTTTAGAGACGTTATCAGGAAGGGCCAATTCTTGGATACAGTTATGAGGCTTTAGTAGAAAGTCACTGAAAGCGAAGAAGGCCCTCCAGGCGACAGACTGACCGGGGCTGCGGTATGGACTCAAACAAAGCCATGGTTGTGGGACTGCACGGGCTGGCCAGGGTTTTGTTCTGGGGTTCGCAGGGTTGCTAAGAGCTGAAGCCAACGCTACAGCACCGAATAACAGGAACAACAGAATTAGGCAAGAGGAGACCTGCCTGGTGTCCCAGGAGTTAACTGCTCAGCCACTAACCCAACAGTCGGTGATTTGAACTCACCAGCTACTCGATAGAAAAAAAGATGTGCAGTCGGCTTCCACACAGTTGGCAGTTTTAAAACCCAATGGGGCAGTTCTGTTCATCTCTATAGGTGCATTATGAGTTGGAATCCTCGCCAGGGCAACAGGGAAGGGAGACAGGTAAAATGCAATGACAGGCAGATAGTTAGTGATCCAGTAAGGTAGCCAGAATAGGGACCAGGTTGTCTACTGGGCATGCTCCAAATTCAAGCTCTGCGCCAGGAAGGGGTAGTACACCTAGGTGGGTGGTACACCTGGATTGGCCCCTTCTAGGCCAGGTGGCCTTAATTCAGCCAATGGGATCAGAAAGCCAGACACTGAGCCCACAGCCCTCTTTTCCAGCTGCTCCTTGGGCAGGCTACGGGTTTCTCTGTCCTCAGGTCTCCACATGTGGGTGAGAAGTGCCCTGAGGGTGTCTGTGTAAAGCCTGAAACTTCTTCTATCCTTTATGCAACTCACTTGGGTCACAATCCAGGCTTCGGAGTGAATTCTTTCTTGCGAAGCCAGGGACTGAGGTATTTCTAACCCAAGAAACCAAACAGTCCTGCTTCAGATCAATCTGTGTGGGCAAAGCCTAGGTATATCCATGGCTGAGTCCAGCCTTTACCTTCTCTTAGGGACAGTGTGGGCAGGAAGTGACAGTCATTGTTAGTTGCCATCAAGTTGGTTCAACGCATAGGGACCCTAAGCCCAACAGAAGGAAACCTGCCTGGTTCCATTCTTGCAATTGTTCCTATGCCCGAGCCCTTGGTTGTGGCCACTGTGTGTGTGTCAATCCATCTCGTTGAAGACATTCCTCTTCAACTGAAAGTAGAGCTGCCCCTCTACTTTCCCAAGCATGATGCCCTCCTCCAGGCGCTGGTCCCGTGTGAGGCAGAAGGGTTTTCCCCAGGTTGTTCTCCATATTGTATGCCGGGCCTAGGACACTGCTTGCTAGCATGTGGTAAATGGCTGTACACTTGGGAGGTCAGCTGCTTAGAGATTATCTCCCCGTGAGGATATCAGCCATCTAGAACGATCAG